GAGCCAAGGGGCCAATGCTCTCTGAGCCATCTCTCTCCCTGTCACCCCCTGCTTATGTGCCAGGTCTCCCCAGCGTTGCACCGCCCAGCATCCGGCCCTCACCCCGTCCTGATGTGTCCCCACCAGCCACAGGGACGTTTCTGCTTTACGCTCAGGGACAGCAAATCGGCTAACTGCCGCCCCATGGCTGCAGAAGGAGGCGGCGAAGACCCTGCTCTCCCTGCATGTACAGTATCTCCAGCATCGGGTCCAGGGTGCAGGACCACTGGAGGGAGTTAGGAACAGGCTGATGTGTGTTTCACATCTCTCTGGACCACTTTTGTCTGCACTCTGATGGTCTGAGGGGTCACCTCTTGAAGGTTGATGTTGGTTTGTGGGACATTGGCTGTGCTGGCTGCTGTGGCACTGAGAGGGAGCAGGAGTGCTCTCATCTCTTCCTCCAGCCATTCCTGAGCAGAGGGGCAGGTCATAGACCTGGGGTGCCTGCACAGGGGAAGGAGCATGAGTGCTTGCAGAGGTCCCCTGGCTGTTGGTTATGGGTCCCAGGCTGCCATTGGCACATCTCTACTCCAAAGTTGCCTTTTCCCTTTCTTGGACTCCTCTTGGAGCATGGCCGTGTGCACCTCCATCCAAGCCAGACCGAGGGAGAGGAATGCTGGAAGCTGGGCCATGACCCTCCCTGCACCCTGGGGAACTGAAACACCTTGCCAAGCATTCCCTTTCCCAATCCTAAAGGTCATTCTTGGGGCTGGCTTTACTGTTGGAGCAGTTTCTCCTTGAGCTGAAGGGTTTCAAACCCATCTGGATGTGGGTGTGTGCCTGCCACAGCTGGTCTAAAAACCTCTGCTGCAGCATTAAGCTGGGAGGTGTGCAGGAGGAGCCTATCAGTGTTGGGTTTCCTAGGGAAAAGGGATCTGAGTGTCATTCCCTATTGCTCCATCTTGCAGAGTGCCCTGGGCAGCTCTCAGTGCTGGCTGGTGGGGTAAGGAGGAGGCTCTTGGCTGTGGCCCAGGAAGGATTTCACCCTGTGTCCCTCTCCCAACCCTGACAGGGCTCCATCGTGGTGGGGATCGACTATGACTGCCGGGAGAAGACTATCTATTGGACTGATGTGGCTGGACGGACCATAAGCCGGGCGAGTCTGGAGCCAGGTTCTGAACCGGAGACCATTATCAACTCAGGTGTGCTCCCATCACCCAAACCTGCCCAAAGCCACAGCAGTGGGTCCATGCCTGCCTGTGCCCATCACAGGTTTGGGGTCCTCCATTGCGCCCTCACATCCCTTGGCTTTGGGGATGCTGTTATGGGTCCAGGAGCAGCTCTGACCGTGCCCATCCCTCCGGCAGGACTCATCAGCCCCGAGGGGCTGGCAGTGGACACCCTGCGCCGAGCCATGTTCTGGACTGACAGTGGCCTGGATAAGATCGAGAGAGCCCGGCTGGATGGCTCCGAGCGCCAGGTGCTCTTCGACACAGACCTCGTCAATCCCCGGGCCATCGCGGTGGACCCTGTCCGCGGGTGAGCAGTGGGGATTTACACACAGGGCTTTGCAAGGTGTAAGAGCTGGACACATGGTGGGGTGCCAAGGACCTTCCCTGACCCTGGGAGCAGCTCTCCTACATTGCACACCCACAGGAGGGATTGGCTCTGTGTCCCACCCCCTCTTTCATTGACTGATTGACTGATTTCATTGACAGCTAAACCTGCTGTTTCAGCGTCAGGATGTGCATTATTTGGGAAAGCTTTGAAACACGCCTGGCGTTCAAAAATGCAAGCTGTGCCTCTAGGGTGCTGTTGTGATACAAAATGTGCTACTCCTAAGACTCGCCCTCATCTAAGAGCTGCGGTTTGTGCCGTAAACATGTTTGACATTATTCTGGTTTTATGGTAGAGATTTTTTTCAAATCAAATAAAGATTTCAAGCACTGTTAAGGGGAAAACTAGGCCCCTCTCCTGACAAAAGCCAGTAACAAAGAGAAAGCTTCTCATCTCCTACCACTGCTGTTGTGTGTCCTGATTGTTCATTATACATTTTTTTCCCAAGCAATCTTTACTGGACAGACTGGAATCGCGAGGCACCCAAAATTGAAACGTCCACTGTCAGTGGAGCCAACAGGAGGGTCCTGGTGAATAAGGACATCGGCTTGCCCAATGGCCTGACCTTCGACCCCTTCTCCAAGCTGCTTTGTTGGGCAGATGCAGGTAACTTCACCCAGCATCGAGCAGACTGAGACATATCAAGCCTCAAAGGGAAATCCAGCTATGTATAAGCACAAGTAGGGGTAGGACAAGTAGGAATGACTTTAAACTGACAGAGGGGAGATTTAAAATTAGATACGAAGAAGTTCTTCCCTGTGAGGGTGCTGAGGCGCTGGCACAGGGTGCCCAGAGCAGCTGTGGCTGCCCCATCCCTAGCAGTGTTCAAGGCCAGGTTGGACGGGGCTTGGAGCAACCTGGTCTAGTGGAAGGTGTCCCTGCCCATGGCAGGGGGTTGGAACTGGATGGTCTTCAAGGTCCCTTCCAATCCAAACTGTTCTGTAATTCTGTGTATGTCTTCAGCCTATTGCTACCTGTGGGCTTCTCTGCCCCCTTCCAGTGTCCTGCCCCAAAGGACTTTGTGTGACAGGGACAAGGGGGCTCACAGCATAAGTTGCTTCTACACCCTTAGGCTGAGAAGCTGTTTCAAAATTCAGTGAATACGAAGAACATGCTTGGTGTGGGGGAGTTTCTGGCCTGATAACTGTCTTTGTGTTTGAAAAGGAACAAAGTACCTGGAGTGCACATTCCCTGATGGCACAGGCCGGCGCGTCATACAGAACAACCTCAACTACCCCTTCAGCATCATCAGTTATGCCAATCACTTCTACCACACAGACTGGAGACGGTAAGGAAAGAAAACTTGCTCCCTCCTCATCTGGCAACACTGAGGAGCATTTCCTAGGGCTCTGCTCCCCTAAGCGGCCAGGAGCCAGGCTCCGCACTCCCTCTGGAGAAGTGCTAGCCAGCAGCTTGGAGGGCCTTTGAGCCAGAGCAGGGGGAAACAAAACACATTCCCAGGTTGCTCCCTGGTCCCCAAGTCCTGGAACCTCACCAGAGCACTCCCTGGGGTCTCCTGCAGTGCCACGTTCAGCAACACCCGCTTGTAAATCTCAGTGCAGAATTTGTTTAGGAATTTGTTTAGGAACACCCCCCCCAGCTTCCTGGGGTGGGACAGAAATAGTGGTTGGGTTTGTTGAGGGTTTTTTTTTTTTTTAAACTAAAACTTGGCACAAGTTTCTGAAACTAGATTAAGTCAAAGAAAATATTCTGTCCTCGGTTGTTCCCTTCCCCCCCTTCACCTAAGGCCCTCGGCATCAGGAACTCGCCTCTATTCCCACTCCAGCTGGAAGCTTTCAAAACTTTGATCCAACCACAGCAGATTACAACCACTTAAGTGCTTGTCATTCTTGGAGGAGACTCTCAGGGAGATAATCTTCCCTTGGAAGGCCATTTCTGTGACTGGATCACCAAAGAGAAACACACTCAACAAACTGGATGTAGATTTTATGGGGGGAATTTCTTTCCCCTTGTTCTGCAAGCATTCAGACTAATCTTTTGAGCTGCCTCCGTTCCTAAATGCATATAGATGGGGGGAGGGGAGGGGGAAACAAATTCCATAGATGAGTAAAGCACTTCTCCCCCTTATCACCAGGGATGGTGTGATAGCTATTGATAAGGAAACTGGCTCCTTTACCGATGAGTATCTTCCAGAGCAGCGATCACATCTGTATGGAATAACTGCAGTTTATCCCTACTGCCCTGGAGGTAAAACCCACCACAAACCCCACCCACCCTTGACTGTGTAACAGCTGCTCTGTGCTTGACATGCTAAAGATATCCATTTCTCTCTGCAGCGAGGAAATAGTAACTGCTATTTTGAGAAACAACCATCTTGGCACCCAAAACAACTTCAGACCCAGAAAACTACCACTGCACACAACTAAGAGGGGAGAAACCCTTAACCAAGGCCAATGAAGCAACCTACTTTTCTACAAAAGATTATTTAGTATTTTTTGAAGTGATACCTCAAGTCTTTACTACTGTATTTTTTTTGAAAGTGAAAAATATCAATATATTACCAAAAGAATAAAAATGGTCCTGTGGATCTTAGGCAAGCAAACTTAAAATGTAGTTTCTTATTCAAATGATTTATTTTATTAGAAGAAGAATGGATTCATTTTTAATAGGAATGACAATCTGACCAACAGGTCCTTTTAGCCAAAAAAATAAACGCCTATGGGGAGCTTTGGATGCAGTATTTGCTGGGTCTAAGTAATGTACAGCCCTGAAGAGAGAGACCGTGTATGCTCTAACAGCATGCAGAAGAGTTATGTGATGTGGCAAAGGCATTGAATTTTTTCCAGAAGACAACTCTCTATTTTCACCACTGCCTCAATGCATGTCTTTTAGTATTTATATTAGAAGAATATGCTAGAATTGATCTGTTCATGCTTGTTGGTTCTTCTACGTGCTTTCATAGACCTACCCAATGTAGACCAATACATGTTCAGAAATACCATTTACGCTGTAATACTTCACTTTTTCTAGGTTACTACAATAATTGAATAAAATGGTTGGTTTAAGTTTCGCTTTGGATTTAGTTTTTAAGTATTTCAGTTGTAGGGTAGAGTGGAGAAGCAGCAAGCAAGCCAGGGGCGAGCTGTTCATATGGCAGGACCTCAACAAAAGAGGAATCTGCAGAGACTGTGCAACACTCCCATCTCAACACAAAGCCAAACACAATGAAAAAGAAAAAGGCGTATTTGCCAACTCAGAGCTATTTAGAACAATGTGTCCATTTTCCCCAACTTCATTTATTTAAAGAAAAATGATAATTCCTTAGAAGTTAGAATTCAATTTCCTGTTTTCTTTCAAAACAGTAAAATAATACCATTTCAAACTGCATGCCAGGCTTGTACAGAGTTGTACATAGTTCCTAATTGTACTAAGTACACAAGAGACTAAAAGCTTTTATCTGTTCATCTCCCAACTTTCCCTAGTCTGTGGTCCGTCTTGGGATCAGCAATAATAGCTTGAACTGCTACAATTGCTTCATTAATTTTTGTTTGCAGCTCTCGGAGCTCCTCTATATGCAGCAGTCGGAGAATCTGGGCAGCTTCATTGAGAACAGCATCTGGGTGAGTTGCAGAAAGAGAAGTTGTATCAAGCATTTTCATCTGACATGAAGGACTTAAGAGAAGCTTAAGCAAAATTAACGTTCTGCACTTTGTTCATGCTTGTGGTTTTCATACTTGAAATAGGAAACAACTTTCCCTGCTCCTAGAGAGGGACAGGGTGCTCTGCAAAACCGTGCTCAGCTCCCTGCAGCCCTCGGAGTAAAGCCACAGCCAAGCTGGGTCAGTATGAAACATTCTAAGTAGTAATTAAGGTGTTCTGGGAGCAAAAGTGAAGCCAACCTAGAGATGTCCCATGTCATCTGGCTATTGCTTACAAAATAATCTATCAGGTCATACCAATTTGTGCTGCCTAGGATTAGATTTGAGGTAAATGATGGAACCAAACCACAGGGAAGCAGCACAGGGGTCCTCTGCTGGTAGAAGCACGATTTACACCAGTAGTGAGATACATTCCTCCCACTTGCAAACGTGGTTGCCGTTAAAAGTTGTTATTTAAACATTACTCTGAAACAACATATTCCACAGTTAAGATTTATGCTTTTCTGTTCCAAAACAAAATGCTCAGGGGTGCTCTTAAATAACAAGCTGGGAGGGAGCAATTCTTTCCACTACAGAGTTTTTTACTGTACACATCAGCTACATATTTGACAGTAATATACGTCATCAAAGGCAAATATCATTATTTAGAAGTAACATTAAGAGACTATTTAGAAGTAACATTAAGAGAATTGCTTACCTCCTGTATCAAAACCAAGAATGTGCTTTTCTAAAGCAACAGGCAAACCCTTCAAAAAGAAAAAGCATGTTCAAGTACTATTAGAAATGTCATTTTGCATGTTTGGAAAATAAGATCAAGTACTCCAGTGGGTAGCTCTGGAGGACACTTGAGTTTTGCTTGTATAGATGTGTGTGAAAACTTTGAAAAGTCATCATGCTTGATTACACACGAGTGCCTTTGTGTCCTGAAACATCAAATCCAGAGTATTTGTAAAGAAAAATCTTCATGCTTAGTAATGCCCCGACTTGTCAAGCGAACCCCATTGGATACATGCTGCCCACATTCAATCCTTAAAAGGCCAACAGCAGTACTGTGAGAGAACACCCAACCCAGCAGCATTGCTACCCAGACAAACAAAAAGCAGGCACAAACCAGGCTTTCTGAGGAAGTAGTGCCTTCAAACAGCTGCCAGCTTTCAAAGCACTGCCCAATTTGAAAAAACAGTAAAAATTCTCTGTAATCAAGTGAGTTTCTAAAGAGCTGAACTTGCAACCTCTATCAACATCCCCAGAAGCATTTTCTGAAGTGTTAAGCTTAGGAATAAAGCTAAACGTTCCATTTTCTATATACACTTGCTCTATTAAGACAGCACAAGGAAAAGTTTCATTAGTGGTCATTTACTTAGGTATTGCTCTCTTTTCTTTGTCCTCTCCAGCTTGGGAGGAGCAGTCATGCTAAACAATCACTCACCATGTTTCAGCATGCACATCAAATTAGATTTCAACAATGCAAGCCTTAAAATTTGCTTTTACTACCTCTGTAATTTCTATTATTTCCAACATTTGCCTCTGAACATTTGCCAGATGTCTTGCATTTGGCACGACAAAACATTCAAGTTCAATACTATTAGTTTCTACAATGATGGGGTTCTAAACCTTCTAAACAGTGAGGATTTATTTTAAAGGCTTTACAGACATGTAAAAAGAAAAAAACTGAGTTGATCAAACACACACTAAACAAAATGGTGACCATAACTCACTGGAGTTAGCCCATTTTCAAAGAGTGGTTCTTTTTCATGGACTCTTCAATAAAATGGATGTTCAACCACTACCTTAAAAATCTAACCTATTTGTTGATAAGAACACCACTAATCACAGAACAGTTTGGGTTGGAAGGGACCTTAAAGATCATCCAGTTCCAACCCCCTGCTATGGACAGGGACACCTTCCATTAGACCAGGTTGCTCAAACCCCCCTCCAACCTGGCCTTGAACACTGCCAGGGATGGGGCAGCCACAGCTTTTCTGGGCAACCTGTGCCACTGTCTCACCATGGTCATGGTAAAGAACTTCCCGGTATCTACTCTAAATCTCCCCTCTATCAGTTTAAAGCCATTCCCCCTTGTCCTGTCCCTACATGCCTCTGTCAAAAGCCCCTCTCCAGATTTCTTGTTGGCCCCTTTGGGCACTGGAAGCTGCTGTAAGGTCTCCCCAGAGCCTTTTCTTCTCTATGCTGAAAAACCCCAGCTCTCTGAGCCTGTCTCCAAAGCAGAGGTGCTCCAGCCCTCACAGATCATCTTCATGGCCTCTGGATTCACCACTTCAGACAGATTCTTGCAATATCAGACTTCACACATAAGTGTTTCAAGAAGATAGCTTTAAATGTAAGGCTGCAAATTGCTCCTTGCCACCCTGCTGTGTTCTCAAAGCCACATGAGCAGCAAAGCATTGATTCAGTCAGTTCTTTGTGTGACAAATTCCCCAGGGCCACTGCAGGTACCTCCAACACCGAGTGACCACAGAGGCACCTTCAGAGGCGGTCTTTTGAGACACCCTGGTAGCTTTACTTAATCTGCCTCACTCCCACCGCTACATCCACTACATACATTAGCTCCTTTTCAGGTGGTGGAAGGTGTCTTTGAGCCACAGACTGGCCTTTCCCAAGCAGTGGTCTTACAGCAGGCACTGGGCTGTACAGGCACCTGCTGGTGCTACAAGAAGCACATGCTCATTTGCACAGCAGCTTCAGAGAGAAATGAAGATCACCTTTAAATCTGTAACTACACAGACTACTTAATTTCACAGCCACATTCCCCAACAATTTAATTTAAAAATGCTGCACAAAACACTTGCAACGGTCCTAACCACCACAGCCACCTGCCCTGTAACTTGAAGTGTCAACAGTAGAACTAGATTCTCTGGGGTTTCAGATTTCAGAGTGTGAGGGGGGAAATTACCCACTTTGTTATGTTTTCAAATATTCCCCAGGTATAGCCTTTGGGAGCATCCTTAAAGTGATCCTGAAGGACATTTTTGTACTCAATACTACCTAGGATACACTACAAGCCTGTCAGTATAAATCTGAATCCTGTCTAGACATCAAGCACATTGAATAACCAGCCATTCAAAATACAATCTAAAAAACCCCCCAAAAAACAACAAAAACCCAGCCATAAGTGTTATGTTTTATCTTGAAAACCGTACCTTCACAACCAAACAAGATAAATCTCATTTTACTTGGTGCATTTCAGCCACAAGCACAGCAGTTTAAGTTTCCTCACCAGAGTCCTCATATATATCCTTCAGTCAGAGAACATTTCTTTATCTATTTTATCTTTTCCCCACTCTATCTTGATATTGCCAGGCATGCTACTCATGACATTTTGTATATAAAGCTGTCTGCCATGCAGCAGTCAGACATTTATCACCTGCTTCCAGGAGCAAGGCTTAATATACAAAGTGTCACTGCCTAGTATTTTGGCATTAACAAGCCAGCCAAAAACAGAAGCAGAGGTTTACTCTTCCTCTCCTTCTATCCTGCAACCCAGCTATCCCCTCTGCTTTTAAGGTATTTTCTTCATTCATCTGATACATTACAATGTTGATGATTGCTGCTGGCACACAAAGCTGTTTTCCTGTCTCCAACACTCTGCCTTTTCTCCACCCCACTTGAAGTTTAGTTTTTCTAATGAGAATACTCTCCCAGTGACACGTTACATTCAGTGACAGTGACATTTCAGCCTAAAACCTGATGATGCTCTGAACACCTATCGGAGCAATTCTTTGTCATGAAAAAAATTCACTGTTCCTCAAAGCAGCTGGCTCTGCCAAACACAGAAAATCCCATTCTGATCCCTTCATATCTAGCTGTGCAGCTATGTAAACAACAAATAAAAGCAGCTTTTTATTAACATTTGTTATCAAACATAGAATGAACACAGCAGTCTCAGCTGCTTTCATATTTTCCTGCTCATTTAAGGGTTTTATGGATATACAAAACCAAAGCTTTGATTTGATGTTCCAATGCCTCTGGAAATAACTGCACTACAGCTTAGAGCACCTGGGATTGCTACTTAGTACATAAGCAATATTATGATAATAAATAAAGCATGAACTGTTCTGAGCAGCTGCCAGAAAAGATGAAGGGACTTGTGCTCTTTGACCAGATCCAGTTTCTTTAGCAGGGACACTTCTAAACATACACCTGCAGGGCAAGAGAGGCCACCTTCCCTGGCTGCACCCAAGAACTAATGCAGCAGCTGCTGTGCCAAATGCCAGAGAGGAAAGCTGGAGAACTGGAATGTTTAAGAATTGACAGTCTGTAAAACCACAGTCATCTCCTAGAAGATCCTGCAGACAGACAGCTTGTGGTTAGAAAATAACTCTGCAAAATCTGAGTTTAAGCACATAAGTTTCTTTTCCCCACGTCTTTTTGGGGAAGGAGGGGAGGGAGGAGTTGGACATGCAACATCCCATCCCTCAAACACATATGAGGTGTACATATGAGACAAAACACTCCATAGAAGGAATGTTTCAACCTGTTTATGCAGCTAATGCTGCTGATTCCAAGGGAAAGCCAGGTCATACATTTGTTCGCACGCTGTTGGCCTGCTGCACTGAACAGTAAGGGAAATCCTCTAGCAAGTAACTAGACAGGGAACACCTAGTTACTCATGTATCATACAGGTAAACCCTTTTGTATTCAACTGAAACAAGAAAAGCTTTGCATACTGCTCTCCATAATCCTTTGGGTCTTTTTGAATCAGGATGGCAAAGATAAAGCAAGGTTCCACCACCCTCCTAAACAGAGCATTTAAACAGAATTGGTTTTGACTGAGATGACAGACATTTATGCTTACACTTCTTCACTCAATATGGAACAATTAGCACTAGACTCATGCAGCGTTTATACAAACCTCCTTGGACTGACTGGCCTTTGCTATGGCGTCCTGCGTCAAGCGCTCTTGAACCAAAATGCGAATTGCCTAGGAAAAACATTGAAGGTGAGAGTCATTTATTGATGTCTTGATGCATTTCTCCGCAATTCCAAGGGAAACAGTATAACCCAGCATCACCTCAAACCCACAATTCTGTGAACAACTTTTTGGAAAACTCTTTCAGACCTTTAACCTTTTCAAATAGCACTATCCTTTGCAAGTAGTATCTTACACAGGTGTAGTTTCTTTGGCTGGGGGAAGAAGCTTAACCACAGGTTAAGGACATAACACTATTAATTTCAGCCACTGATGGGCCAGAAACCACAAGGTACTAGGAACAGTCAGAAAGCTTCTGATTTTTTGGAATGGAGAATAGGAGGCTCAGGGGAGACCTTATCGCTCTCTACAACTACCTGGAAAGAGGTCGTAGTGAGGTGGGGGGCCAGTCGGTTCTCACAAGTAACAAGCGATAGGATGAGAGGAAATGGCCTCAAGTCACACCAGATAAGGTTTAGGTTGGATATTAGGAAAAATTTCTTCACCAAAAGGGTTGTTAAGCACTGGAACAGGCTGCCCAGGGAAGTGGTGGAGTCACCAACCCTGGAGGGATTTAAGAGGGGTAGATGGGGCACTCAGGGATATGGTTTAGTGGTGGATTTGGCAATGCTGGGTTAATGGTTGGATTTGATGATCTTAACGGTCTTTGCCAACCTCAACGATACTATGATTACAGAATGAGATAATCACAATCCCAAAGCAGCAGCACCATCTTTACTTTTCTGAGATCACGCGCCTTTAATGCTGCAGCAATACAGCTTCAGGAAGCAAATCCTGCTATCAGCATCTTTTAGTAGGTGCTGAACCATCTTCCATATGCTGAGAAACCTGGAGCAAGGCTACACACCCAGGTTTTAAAAAAAGACAGAGCAGAAAGGAATTATTTTTAGACACAGGAACAAGAACAGCCTTGATTTTAACAACCCTGCTGCTCATCTGTTTTTACTGGCTCCAGTACATAGCATGAAATCATATCGAAGCTATCAGTTACTGATACCTACAGCTGTAAATGCCTCTAAAAATAACTGAAGGAATACCATGCAGGCAGACTTCCACCAGAAGGAACTGGGTCTGTCAAACACATTCCTCAACCTTTCCCTGATGAGTAGCCAAATCTGACAGAAGCGGTCTTATTGCTTCATGTTTCTCCCCCAAGATTTCTTCTGGTTTTGGTCATGATTAAAGTTGAAATGATACTAGAAAGATGCCACTGAACACTTCCAGAAATCTTTCTAACTGAAGGGAGTAGCATGGACAAGAATGATTTGATGAGGAGTTTAACTTTAAATTCCAGCAGTGAAGCCAAACCCTGTGTAAGAATTTTGAGTGCCTTTTGCACTAGAAAAGGATATCCAGCTGTGTCATACAATGCTTTCTGATGAACTTCCCAGATTTAAATTAACAAAACTGGACTTCAGATATCTCTCTGCCCGCTCTGGCCAAGGTCTGGCAGATCCAGAGGGTGCATGCTTGCACCCTCTGGCCTCCCCTAAACATCCACTCCCCAGTGTCCAAGCCTGAACTGGGATCATAAATTCTCCGCAAATGTGCTTACTGTGGTATGGAATTAAAAGGTTTCACTGTCACATCCTAATACCATCAAACCCTGAAAACTAGCATTACTATTGCCCATGTAATATGAACTGCCACTGCAGAAATCTGTTCCCACTGTAATTAAAAGCAAGAAAATTTCAGGCTGGTGGTTTTGCTCAACCACTTCTGTCTGAAAAAAGTGAGACTAGAAATGTAGAAACAGTGACAGAAATGTAAATAGCAGAAACCCAATTCTCCTCACTTCAAGTTGCTAGTACCAAATTAGATGGTACTAGATGGTCCTACTCAGGTAAAGTCTGTTAACCTTGAGACAATCCTGTAAGACCACCTGAAGGAACTCTGTCTAATAAGGGCTGAGCTCATGCCTGCAGATCCTCAATTTCACCATTCACAGGGTCTCTTCTCATTCTACCTGATATCCCTTTTCCACTGATTTTTGCAGAGGTTTAGGTTTGGAGGCTTTTTTGCTAGGGCGTTGATATATGAGACCTCCACCACTCTCTAAAGACTGATGAAGAGTTCAAAGGCTAGAGAACGAGAAAGTGGTTGATGGGATAACTGCAGGCTGTCATTTCATTAAGAAACCAGGCTAGGGTGATAATACTGTTAAGTATACCTGTTACAGACTTACACACACTGTATAAACTTCAATACCCATGGCATTTAGTTTCTCAAAAAAGAGGTTAGTAAATATCACAGCTACTGTAATGAACTGATCTTAATGGGTTTATTCAGTGAAATGAGTTTATTGTGGTGCCAAACAAAACTAAGCTTATTTCCATACTATGGCAGGATCAAGTAGGAACTCAGCATTACAACAGTCTCAGTAAATACAGTACTTCAAAATACAGCACAGGTTCAACCCAAAATTTACAGCTAACTATGGAGTTCCACTAGTAAGTTACACATTTTCTCAAAGTCACAAAAAAGATGCTTTAGAAAAATTAATTAGCCTATTTACCACACTTAAAAGCCATGATTAGTTGTGAAGACTAAATTAAATTGACTTCAGTAACGACAGAGAGTCAAAGTTCACAGGACAAAAAAAGGAGAAAGTAGCCTTTCACTGTGGTTCCTCCCTGGGATGTCTGTTTTAAACCAGCCTTTGCATCACTCAGCCTCTATGTCTTCAGGTTTCTCTTAATTTCTAGCACTGCAATACAGTCTTCTCCTTTGAGTATGTTCCTCGACACTTTTGAGGATCAGTAAAAACAGAAAGAGTACTTCAAATTTGGAACAACAGTTCCCAGTGTTGGAACTCCAGGAACTCAGCTACAAATGAGCTGTTTACCAAGATAATTATTCATTAATTTCCATGATTTATATTGTGTTCTTATGCCCTTGAAAAGACACATACAGGATGAATTTTACTTTCTATTTGTGCTTAAAGTAATAATTTAACTCTGCACCACAAGCTATTACACATATACCAGCCACTGGGGAAAAGAAGGAAGAAAGGAGGTATAGAACTGTGAAACTTACCTTAAGCATTACCAAGTAATCATCGTGCCGCTGAATTTGAAGGAGATTAGCTAAAGCCATCACTCCAGCCTTGAAATCAGGATTATTCACTGTAAAAATAATCATCATTAAAAATATACACTAGTTCAACTGGCTCCAAAAGGCACAACTGGCTTCCTGACTGCCCAGTATGGGATTGTTCTCAAGGATGGGCAAAGCCATGGATAAACAGCAGTAAGCAACAATTTAGTCTAGCTAGAAAGCAATCAAAGCACGTGCCAGGCTTCAGAGTCAGGTTGCAGAACATCATCTAAACACAAGCAGCATTGTTTTCAACACCAAACACACTGCATATGTTCTACAGCAAAATAAACCTGTGTTAAGTCTTTGAAAATAAAGCAAATTATACAAAGATATTCTTTTTTATATATCTTTCACTGCAGAGCAAAATTGTGCTGGGTGTGGGTAGGACCAATTCCTAGCTGTCTTTCTGTAGAAGCAGCAATGGGAGAAGACATGGGGGATTTAGGGCTAATTTTAGGAGCTATTTTCCACCACTTCCATTTATTGTGAAGGCACCTAGAAGTCAAAATAATGAAAATGATGAAAGGTATAGCTGGGGAAGACCAAGCCAATGGCACCTCATACTGCTGGGAAAGATTCTCCCCTTTGCCCTTCTCCTTTTTCCCCAACAGGAGAATCTCTGCATCAGTGCAGGGGGATTCACATGGAGCAGTTCCTCTTTCCTTAAGCAGGAACACAGACAAGTGGAAATAAGTCCAAGTAACTCTCAAAAACGCTGTTCACAGAGAGGCGGTTTCAGCCAGCAGTAAAAGAATATATGAACTCTGTATTCCTAAAGCTTAAATGGGGCTTTAAAGAATTGTATTTATCACATTTTATTATTATTCATTATCATTTATTTTTATTATTATTTTTACTATTAATGAATAATATCTATAA